CATAATTATGCCCTCCTGCACCCACTGTGATCCAAGTCTGATCCACTCCCTGACTTAGAGCCTTAGGTTACATGCGCTGCTCCTCAGCTTAGGGACAGTCTCTTCAATCTGTGTGTGAACCCTGCTCACTTGGCTCCAGAACCAAGCATTTGAATCTTTTTCATGGCATACCAGGAAAAGGAACATCATTACCAATATCATTGAAGCTTTATTCTTCAGTCTCAGAAAGGCTTAGGAATGATGTAAACAGAAGAAACAAAAGGAAGCATTTTCAAGAAACAATTTAAAATATGAGAACTTCCACTCAGTACATTGGCTCAGCTGTATTTACATTAACAGTTTACTAACCAACCAGGTTAACAGAAAATTTGAAATTGTGAAAGAATACCATTTTTTAATCCCTTATAGGAAGCTCTACATCACTATGGTTGTGATGTTTATCTAAGTAGAAAAAAAAAAAAAGTTTGATAAGCAGATCCACTTTTTATGGAGGAATACAGAGTGCCTGACCCACCTAACCGGGCATGCAAGGACATTTCACCAAATTAATTCCCTTCTAAGTAAAATACATGACAAAAGGCAATGTGATGTGTAAGTACCTGAAGGGATGCAACGCTTTCAATACATTCTGACTACTTACAGTGTATCTCATTCTATATTATGTACAGAGCACTATATTTCAAGTGATGTTAAAACCATTTACTGTTTTGTTCCCCAAGAGTAAGATTTTGTTAGTCTAAGGTCACTAGACATTAATTTACCTCAAGAATCTCAAAAGAAAGATGTTTTTATATGGACGTCATTAGATGGGTGTATGAGCCAAAAAGACCAGGTTAAACACAAAATTGCCAGGCTCACCAATAGGACCATTTAGCACGTAAGACTCAACATAAACACCTTTATTTTGCTGTTAGCAATTTAGAACTATCATGTCGCTTCATCACTAGACATACAATATATGTACAAGACAGAGGAAAGCAACTATCACAGGTAAATAAAAGCTGAAGAGAAAACATGAAAATAAATAGGAATGGTTAAGAGAGGCACAGGAGGGCAGAGGGATGGAAGAGATCAGGTAATTTAAAATAATCTACCCTCATAACCTAAGCAAAAAAGCATTGTCATTATGCTTCCTCCACTTTTACATTTTGGAGAGATGGGGAACAACAGAAAGGATGAAAGAAATGCTTACCTTAGGTTCTGCAGGAAGGGGGAACCCCCCCATCCAAAATAACTTCTTAGCAAATAGTTTTGCTTATTCTGTATGCTATCCTCTTTACCCTAAAGCATTATTTTAGTACCTTCTTAGCTTTCTGTGATGAGTAGAATAATCAAAGTTTCTGCACACAAAGATGCCTTGAACTCTCTAGGTATTAACACAACAAAAACAAACTCCAAGGTAACACTTCTGATCCAGTATGTCCCGTTTACAGCGGAGTACCACCCATATGACTGCTGTCTAATGCTTTATGGCACAGGAAGCACTTTGAGCAGTTTCTAGCAAGAAACTAAACATGCTGCTAGATAGTAAATTAATCTTAGTATTTCTCATCTGATTAAGAATTGCACTTCTTATTCTATCTCTTAAAAGGTTATTAGTGAGCACAGAGAGCAACACACCCAAAAAACCCCTAAGCAACGTTTGTCCTTACTCTTAGAGCATCACAGAACCAATGCCAGCATTCTTACGGAATTAATGCATTGTTGAACAAAAGCCTATAGGACAGATATTCCTATCAAAATGGAACTCCAGGTACTGGTTGAAGTTATCACACAGCAATTACACAACAGAGCACTTTGTTTTGGACCAGTATTTTGCGATTTCTTAGTAGTAATGTATGAGTTTGCAAACAAGTTTCTTCTCCTATTTGAGCCAAGAAAAGGATAAAGCTAATTGGAAGAAAACCTAAATCTTGACTGGAGCTCTAACACTCCTTCTGTTTCAAACAAAACAAACCCCGTCTTTTACAGGCATATTTTAAGAGAAGACAGATCCTGTCTGAACTAATCAACAGCTCTCTAATTTGCCTCGCCCACTGCAGGGGAGGTTAGCCTCACTGACTTACAAAGAAAGAAGCCAAGAGTAGTATTTGCACTCAGACTTGCCTCTTTTAGTATCAGCCTTAGTCTGCAGAAATAGAACCGAAGCACAGAAGAGAAAACAAGGAAAAGACTTACCACTTGTCCTGTATGGGGATTCTTATGCGCATAGGGCGGACCTCTAATGTGGTTCCACATCTGGCCTGAAGTCATTGCTAACACAAAACACTGAAAAGGAAAGAAGAAACGCTATTTGGTAAGGATTTATTATTATTATTACTATTTTTTTTTACCCAATTTCTTTTCATTTCATACCAAAACGTACTGGTTTGGAATACAATCTTAGGCTAGGCATTGTCCCACCTTTTGTATAAATAAAAGACATCTAATCAAGCATTAACCGAGCTGAAAAGACAAATAATCAAATAATATTATCAGACTACCACAAAATAAAACTAAATGCACCTCTTTTTCCTCTACCAGGTCTAAGCACCTTTACATACAAAAGCTTTAGAAGACTTCAATTGCTTACGAAACTCATGACAACAGGCAGCCAAGAGTTACAATTACTCACCAAAGCAGCAAATGCCCAGCCAGTTTTGTTATACAGAAAATCCAGGTTGCTTCCACGCAAATATACGAGGCCTCCTATGACAGCCAGCAGCAGTCCTAACATCAATGGTCCAGCATAGTTTGGTGGCCTTATCACACGAATCTAAACAGATGATATTTAAATTATTTTCCCTCAATGGGATTATACATTATACCTGCAGTCCTGCTAGCAAAACCCACAATATACTAGAGTGGAAAATAATATTAACAAGCACACATAAAAATTTTCAATATAATAAATCTGACTAGGGAAGTAAGTAATCCTTTCCCCCCCATTACTGTAACTTCAGTTTTATACACCTTTACCCCACCTAATGATTTAAAGACTGTTTTTCTTCTATAGGAACAGAAGAGGGATAAGGAAGGAGATGAGTTTTGCCATCTTATCAAATACAGAATTACACAAAATATTAGAACACGGAACATAAGGAAACTTAAAAGATGTAGCCATGTGTCCAAACTAGATTTTGTAGACGAGAACTATTCAGAGCATCTGAGAGTAGATCATTAGCCACAGAACACAACTGGCATATTTCATAGCTGGAGTTACAACAGGGGAGTGCTGCAGGGGGTGTGTGATGGGGAAAGTCTGTATATACTTACATTGACATCCGTTCTGTCAGCCACCCAGCGAGCAAGCTGTTCAGCCGCAAAGCCGCGCACCTGGAGTTCGTACGTGTCACCCCGTTTAGGCTTCCCTTTAGCAGGGAAGTTAATGAAGGTTGGAGCAGAATTCATGTTTAGCTGTATTTAGAAAATTCATAGAAGATACAGCATCATGAAAGGTCTACTTGGTAACACACAATTCTATCCCATTTGTATCTTCCAACATCATCACTAAATCAATCAGAGAAAAGTAACTATTCAATAGTTTTCATTGACAATAACTTAAAAAAAAAGACAGCACACAGCAGCTTGCACTTCTGTATTTCATAAGAGTGATCAATATACTCCTGCAATCTCCCTTTTGTGTTCCATGCTATTTTATCTTTTTAGGATTGCAAAACAAAATTTTTTTAGCTCTGTCAATAGCTGTTCTGGATGTCTTAGAAAAAAAAAATTGTTCCTTCCGAGTAGGCTTTTTCTTTTTTTTTTTTTTTTTTTTTTAACACAACTGAGCATACTTTCTAAAGTGATTGATATTTCTGTGTTAGTACTCAGCTACCAATTCAAAAGATTCAGATCAGTTAAGAGGAAGTTCTAATAGGTAAATAGCTAAAGTGATTGATATTTCTGTGTTAGTACTCAGATCTATAGCTACCAATTCAAAAGATTCAGACCAGTTAAGAGGAAGTTCTAATAGGTAAATAAAAGTAGTGGTTTATAAAGTGTAGTTCTATCTTTTCCTAACACTGTTTTTCCATAGCATTTCAGGTTTTTTTAATCTGTTTCTTCTATAAATACTACTTTTGGGAGAGAAATCTGCAAAATAGGAGTATATACAAAAATCCATAAAGGCTATAGCTTAATGAATGAATTTTTGATTTAACACTATGGGAAAATTTAACAAGAATAATAAAAAACATCTTTCCGCTTCTCCAGTCCAAAAGCTTCCATTTAAGAAAATATCCTTGCCTAAACTGCATAGCTTTTAAATAGAGAGGAGTATCTCTTAAAGAGTTAAGATTTACAAAACTATAATGAACTATGAATTTGATCTACAATTGCGAGCATATGTGGAACGTTCTCATACATTTAAAAAAAAAAAATCAGGTTACATAATGTTAGTAGAAGAGCAAAATGACTGGGTGCTTGAAAAGAAATGCTAACCAATACTGAAAGGCTAATTTATCATTCTCTAGTAATGTAAAAATTCTAACAGCTGTTCCTAATGACATCGGCACTTTCTATCTTGCCTCTTCATAGATAAAAGAATTCCATTAAAAATCACACCGTATGTTATTATAGGAGACAAACTCAGAAAAACCAGCCAGAGAAGCCAGTTCACTCCTTGTACCTATTCCAGATTTGTCAGTTCTGTTAATGATACTGCCAACATGCTACTGCCCTCTGCATTTCTCACATTTCTTCTGAGTGGCAGCTTTTAACTTTTCAATTATTTCTTTAATCATTGTACCACTAAATTTTGTACACATCTTTACCTTCTTGCCCTCAGTCTCCAAACCCCAAGTTAAAAATAATGTTAGAAGAAAAAAAAAGAAAGACATTACCATCTGAAATACATCTGAGCCTTCGTCAAAATCTACCATAGCAAAAAAAATCTTATTGGTAAATGCACTGGAATATCGCCAGGAGTTTGCCAGAATCTGGTATTCCTCATCAGCTTGCCTGTACAACACACAAAGTGAGATGCCATATCATCTGCCTGTCCAGAACACACACAAGTTACAAACAGCTGAGGGAGCTGCAGCCACCCACCCACCCCATTGATGGGTGCATCCCACACACCCCTGTGTTAATTTTCTAGAGTTAAAGAGTTAAGGCCAGACATTCATCTAGCAACCAAGTGAGGCATTTGGCACCCTGTTATTTTAAATGCAAGGGCAAGTTTTGTTGAGTCCATGAACACAAGCAGTGGTACTTTCTAACTGAAATTTGCAATGGAACCCAGCAGCTCACTATTTGCTAGTCCACAGAGCACCAAAGTAAGTCTAAGTGTGCCCTCCTTTCCACATCAGAGAATGGGAAACCTATTAATTTCAACTAACCAGGTACAAAAATCATCTTTACAGACCTCTGCCACCTCTGGATTAATACATGAAAGCCATAATACGGTTAAGGATTCAGCGTATTACAATGGCAAATAAATAAGTGCCAATCAACATACTTATTAACACCACCTTTTAGATTGCATGGCCAGTAGTATAATTTCTGGGTGGTGCCTTCACAAGGCGTCGAAATTTGTCTCCATTCATTCTAATGACGGATCTTTTACTAGCCCACTCCATTAGCTGGTTCACTTTTTCTGATAATACCATCTGAAAATAAAGTCAAAGAAACACTGTTGGTTTGGGTTTTATTCAGTCTCATAGTACAATCTTGAAGGTTTTCAGATTTGATGTAACGAACAGCTGCACTGTATTTCTTAAGAACACCGACCACATGATGTGCTACTTCACTCACGGGTCTTGAAGGCATTCACAGACCTTTCTGACAGTCATGTTAATATTATTCATTTACTTTAAGCACTTAGTATTTAATAGACACGCTTGCAGCACTTGGCCTTTAAGCACTGGGTATTACACAGGCTGGTGAAGACTGTCAGCTCACTAGCACTTTTTCACGTTGCCAATTGTAAGATTTCTTTCGCGTGTACAAACAGCCCCAAATCACCCTCCAGTATTTCCTCGATACTAAGCACCACATTCTGCTTCAGAAGATTTCAAAACTGGGTGGAAGTGGAATCGGCGCTAGAGATGGAAGCTCCGTGGAAGCAAGCTCAACACTCAATTTTCAGCATTGCTGGAAAAAACTCAATTCAGTGCATGTTTGGAAAACTCAGGAGTGCTCAAGGCTAAGCTCGTCTTTAAATATGAGCCAACCAATTCTGTAATGTTATAGGAAGAAGTATTAGGTAAGCGACAAACCCCCAAATGTTACATTCAGCATAAATGACTTCTTATCAACACCCTTCTTCAGAGAAATACTTC